GTATAAACAAATTTTTTATGGAAAATAAGATATTATAGTAGCCATTGTTCATTCTCTGTTACTTGGTTCTGAATGCCCTGTAATACTTTCATTCTCTTGAATGGTTTTATACTATTTTCTTATGTTTGATATTATTGTATGTGAAGGTATGCTCAACTATTTCAAAGACACAGGCATTATGGTAGCTACTATTAATACCTGGTTGTCTTGTTGAGAAATGCTGTGTTGCTACATTGTTCTGTTCTAATCTGCTTTGTTCTGTCCTCTTTTGTTTTATTCTCTTTAAAATAGAAAAAGAATTTAAAACATCACACTACAGCAATATATGCACATTCATGTTTATAGCAGCAGAGTTTGTAGTAGAAACAACCCAAATGCCCACTAATGGAGGAATGGATAAAAAAGATGTGATTTTTTAATACAATGAAGTACTACTCAGCCAAAAAGAATAAACTTGTGATTTTCCTAGATAAACATGCACCCTGAAATCATACTCTTAAGTGAAATAAATCACATGTACACATGTAAATATGGCATGAATATCGCAAGAAACTGAAAGGGTAAATAACCAAAATGTATAATAGGTATTGTGAAATACAGAGAAATTATTCAAAAGAAAGGGAAACTAGGTGAGGGAGAAAGAAAGGAAGGGGAAAAAAGATAAAAGGATAAAATGGAAATAGAGCTTTGTAAATGAGGAGAGAAAGAAGGGTTGAAGGGAAGGAAGGAGATAAAAAAAAAAGAGGAACAAGGATATATCGAGTATAGGCACAATTTCCCATAATGAATGCGGTCCTAATGTATATCTAATTGTACCAATAAACTTAATTTTAAAAATCTAGATCTTAGGACTTACGGTGACAGCTATGAGGTTCAGTGGAGGACAGGCCTTGCTGCTGAGGAAGCGGGCATAAGAGCGAGGCTTGACGGATACAAGCCCAGCACCGCAAAGGGAAAGAGGAATTGCAAGCAGCATCCACAAGAGCCTGTAGGGAAGGCTGCTGGTCTCCGCAGGGGGTACAGCAATTCATAGGGCTGACCTTTCACCTTTGCAAAGGACAGGGATGGTCACAGCAAGGAGGGCAGCTGGGCACCCAGAGATTGCAGTGGTTCCTACACCTTTGCCTCTTGGTAAGAGCATCACATCTTTACCTACCTAACATCCAAACCACTTAATACTTAAAAGGCCATAACAGCTTCATCAAAGACTCATGTCACCTAAGCCCCTCCCTGAAATCTTTCCACTTAAGGGCACCAGCCTCCTTAGTGTCTTTTTTTTTTTTTTTTTTTTTTGGTCCCGTCCTACACCAGCAATTCCCATTTGTTTTATCTTCAAAGGGCAGCCGGAATCCAGCCACCTGTAATCTCTCCCTGGTCTAGCCAGTTCCAGCTCAGGTCTGGATCACAGTGAGTCTCCAAGTTGGTCTCCTTGCTTCTGTTCTTCCCCCTGCAATCACTGCTTGATCCCCTCTCTGATGACTCATTAGTAACTAGGTCAGATCCTATCAGCCTGCTCAAGGCTCCCTGTGTAGCTCAGAGCCAGCCTGTCTGATTCACCGCTCTACCCCTCAGACCTCTTTTCCCACTGGCCTCTCCACTCCTAACCCATCTCTGGGCCTTTATAATGCTCTACACCATGATAACCTCCATGGCCCCTCCTTCACCTCTTTCAGAATTTCCCTCATCCTTCATCCCTAAGACCATCCCTGTCCCTTCTATTCAAAATTGCAAACTGTCCCCAACTCCCTTCTCTGCTCTGGTTTCCTCCATGGCATGTATCACCATGGTACAATTATGTTCTGTATCTGTCTACATTGCCACTAAGCTGTTAGCTACACGCAGGCAGAGCCTCCGCACTATTTTGTCTCTTGCTGTATCCACAGTGCCTAGTGCATAGCAGGCATGCAATATCTACTTGTCTGAATTAATGCACCTCAGGGATGCTAATTAGTAGGGAGTAAGATAAAGATTTTAAGCAGAGAAAGATCTAAAATGAATAGAAAGCAAGACTAGGGGGAAGAAGTCACTACAACTGTTCCTAAAATGGAGGGCTGGGTGAAAATCAGAACTGTCAATGGATAGTTTTAGTTTTCTGCTGGGGAGGTGGGGGGCAGTACCCTAAAGGCATTAGGCTGCCAAATTCCACAGGCTTCTATATCAAGCACCTACCCTCTCTGCAGCTGGTTCTGTATCAACTGATTGGGAACTTATAGGTGAGCAAAAGTAGAGATCACACACACTAAGAGTGAATAGCCTGAGAGACTCCTAAGACAAGATGATCCTCACAAGACTATTACTTTGCCCTGCAGGCCTCTGCTAGCTAGACTGGTCTAGCTCTGGGACCAGAAGGATGATCTTCTCAAGTCCTCTCAACTGAAGGGCTGGCGCTCCTCCCCATGGATAATACATCTGACTGGATTACTGCAAAGGCTGACACCTCCCTTCAGTGTCTCAAGACAACATGATACAACTCAGTGGCTTGCAAAGTTTTCAGCCTAACACCCACAGGAAGAAACTGATAAATGACCCAGAACACACACACACATGTCATCAAAACAAGGTCTGACATACCCATTATCATCCCCAGTATACGTGAAGCAATGATGTTTTCTAACCTCGTTTATTCCAAATAAAAATGCTAGCTGGGTACACGCCTGTAATTGACTCTGGGAGGCTGAGGTAGGGGAATGACAAGTTCAGGCTCAAGACAGTTTAGCAACTTAGATCCTGCCTCAAAAATTAGAGAGAAAGAGAGAAATAGAGAGGGGAGGAGGGGAGGACGGAGAGAAGGAAAGGAAGAGGAGGAGAGGGAGAGGGGGATGAGACAAAACTTAAAAAGGGCTGTGATGTAGCTCTGTGCCAAGGCCTCCAGTCAATCCCCTGGGGACAGTGGTGGGGTTGCTGGTGATAATCCTTACTTTACATCTCACTAATAAATCTTGACCTGCAATTTTGAAAAGCAACAATCTAACAAGCGTCCCCAGGACCCCTCTTTCCCACCTTCAATTCTTCACCAGTTGCCAGTCCTTGTATTAAAGTAAACCCTTCAGTAGGGCTGGCACTCATGAGGCTGAGTTCAATTCCCAGTGCCAAAAAGAAAACAAAAGAAAAACCCTCAGCTGCCGCATAAAATCCCAAATGCTACCCAGAACTCCTCAAGGCACCACATGATCTGATGTGCCCTTGCATCCTCCTGCCTGAGTCCAACAGAGGAGCCTCAGCCTACCTCAGGGCCTTTATTCATCACCTATCCCAGCCAGCCACCGCCAGAGCTTTCTTGTTTATTTCTGTTTTTGTCTTTTTGAGATGGGGGTCCTGCTATCTAATGCAAACTGTCCCTGAACTCATTATGTAATCCAGACTGGTGATCCTCTTGCCTCAGCCTCCTGAGTGCTGGGCCACAGCATGGCTTTGCAGTTTTTAATTAGACAGAACCACCACCCCTCCTTGCAGGACAAATATGTTCCCCCCTACACACACACCCTATCTTAAAAAGCCTCCTCCAAACTCCTTTCTATCACAACAACAACTCCATGATTTCTTTAGCAGTTGTATGATAACCCAGAACTTCCTGGTTTATTTGCTTAAATTGTTGGCTGTCTTCTGCACAAGAATGTAAACTCCATGAAAGACTCTCAACACTTTAGTTTCCTCTCCCACAAAATGGAGACAACAACATGTCAAGTTACTATGGGGATCATTACTTTCTTTAAAAAAATTCACTGCCGTTTTCACAATATCTAAACAGTACCTGGTACCAAGCAGATACCCAACATAATACAAACACAATTTACATTTAATCTTTGCCTTGGCCCTAATAATCCCTAATACAAAAATGAGGAAAGAGGTTCACAGAGTAACCAACTCGTCCAACGTCACAGAGCCAGAAAACAGCGTAAAAACAGAAATCCAGGTCTAGCAGACGGCAAAGGTCTTTAATCCCATTCTTATTCTTAACCATCACGCTACACACCTTTTCAGTAAAAGACGGTATGGTATAGTGGGTAAGGAGCTAAACACTATATCAAAACTCTGTAGGTTCAAATCCCACCTTGCTGCCAATCTGGCCTTATGTGAATTGCCTCACCTGGATATCCTTTCCTATTTTCACCCCTAAAGCAGGAATAGCAAAAGTAAAGCCACCACAAGACTGCGAAAGGCATCAAATAAAGTAATAAATGTAACCGGTGAGACAGTTGTTATTACGTGGCAACATGTTTTCTTCCAACATAAGAAGGTAGGAGGCTTAGCAACAAATGAAGTCCTGCAATCATAGCCTCACCCTTCCTACCCTATTTAGCCCTCGCACCACCACAGAGAAGGAACCTGGAGATTGCTAAGATCTCTTCTTCTCCCCCTGGGTCCAATGATTCTAAAGGGGACATACCAAAACGACCTTGCTTATTTCCTGACACCACCCCTGAACGGGTGAAGCCGTCACCGCAGCACCAAGCTTGCTCTATCTCAATAGACAGCGAACGGTCGCCTGATCCGATGACCGAGGCGTTCCGGGCCGGCCCGGGCAGCGGCTGACCGGATTCAGCTGTGAGGAGAAGATCGGGCAGGCGCAGGTAACCTCTACCTGCGCTCCGGCGGCCACCGGCCCCTGCCACACCGTCCAATGCGTTTCGCTTCCTTCGCGGGCGGTCAGGTCCCCGTCCCCCGCCCATCACAAGCAGCCACGCCGGCCAGACACCCGCTGCCCTCGGACAGGTGTTCTACCCGGAGGAGGTCCGGGCGGGGCAGGGCGACTGGACCCTGAGTCACCGCCGGAAGCCTCGGCCGCGGCCTTCCCGACTCCCAGGCCATGCAGAGCCAAGCCGTCGGAGTCCCCGGGCGGCCGGAATCCACTGCAGCCCTGCGCGTCCTGCCCCTTCCCCCGGAGGCTTCAGGACCTCGGAGCGGCACAGGCCTGCCGGCCTACCAGGGAGCACAGAGCGGGCCCCACTCCGTGAGAGCGGAGGCTCCAGCTCCACCACGGGATGCAAACTGGGACTCACCACGCCGCGGAGACCGCTCGCGGGCGGCGCCAAGGGTGTAGATACCAGAGGTCTACAGAAGCGACGGCAGCCGGGATGCGGGCTCAGGCAGCGGCCATGTTGCTAGTGGAGAAACTCAGCGGACACGTGGGGGGGAGCGGGCCGGCCCTCGCGCTTCCTCTTACCCACAATGCCCCGCCCCGGCGTGCGCGGGCCCGCCCCCTCCGCCTAGCCTTTCAGAAGCAAGCCTAGAGCAGGCGGCAGGGGGCAGTGGTACAGGCGCAAAACGTCAGTAACAAAAACTAGAACCTGGCAGCGGTGGGATTCGAACCCACGCCCCCGAAGAGACTGGAGCCTTAATCCAGCGCCTTAGACCGCTCGGCCACGCTACCTATCTGTGAAATGCGCCTTCTAAGAAGGCCTTTAATGTTTTTTTCAACCATTTAACTCGCATTAACACTTTCCTGAAAGTTTCTTCAGTGTGTCTCATCAGATTCCAATCGATATTTGTAATATGCCATATATTTGAAATAAAATATTTACTTCAATATTTGAACCCAAGATTGTTGGTAATAGGTTTTAAAACGAAACACAGATTTTTAAAAGAATTTGTATTCTGAATTAGACAGTTATCCATGAAGATTCTCTTGGTTAACCCACAGTGAGTGACAAGATCCAGATTAGCTGTTTTGGGAAAACAGATTGATCCTGAAAGTAGCCCCCACCAGAGGCTATGACGATCTAAGGAGGAGGGCTGACCTGTGACTTCTCTCCGAAAAATAATGAATTTAAATTGCCAGTTGCATTAAAAAATAAAAAATAGTTGGTTGCATGAATACTCTTTGACTTTTCGCTCCCAACCTAATCTGCTCCGCAAAAAAACCCATTATCTCTAGTTTATATATCCTTGCAAATCTCTTGCTATGAATTCAAAAGCATATATAGTCATACAAAATAGTTTGTTTTTCATCGTGTATTAGTTATTACATAAATATTATACTATTAGTATATCGCTCCAATTGGCAGCTTTTTCTCCAGTCTCTATTTCTAAATATCTAGCCCTGATAATGTGTATGTAGATATTAGAAAAGACGAGGAAAATACAATTAAAAAATAATCATCTATATTCCCACAACCTGAAATGAGATTAATTACTGGTAATATTGTGGCATTTTTGTTTCCAATTCTTTTCCCCCTGTATATACTTCTTATTAAGTTACAACAGATCATGATAAGAATATGTTGTCCTTTTAAAAATATACTTTAAACTATTAGAACATTACAAATAAAGGCCTCCAAACATCCTCCCTTACATATAACAGTGAATTTGATGTACATCTTTCCAATAATCTCTTAGACTTTTACATATGTGTATTCATGAACAATATATACCATGGTTTTCTATATGTTAACATGTTGTATCAGTATCTTTCTAAAATTATGATGGCTTTGCTCATAAAAAAATTAAAATTTGGGTTTTTTTATTCACTCCAACATATTTTTTAGGTCTGTTCCATGATGTAAACAATATTATTTCTGAATATTTGTCATGTCATACAATATGGCAGACAATTCTTTGCATATGGCTCCTCTAGGATAGATAGCAGAATTAGAATTGCTGCATCATGTGTATATTTTCCGTTTTACATGTCGCCAAAGTCTATGATCTTTAATGACTGTTTTTTCCTCTTTTTTTTTTTCAATTTTTTTTACTTCTTCTTGAGTCGATTTTAGTATGTTGTTCTGGGAAATAAACCACTTTGCTTGACTTTTCACATTTATTATTGTAAGGAATCTCAAATCTCCCTCATCTCTGCAGTACTGTCCTTCCACATTAGTTTCGCTCCGCACTGTGAGCCAAATCATTCACTGGAAGAATTAGGCAGTAATCCAAACCCCAATAGTGCTTTGGACAAGTCCCTAGCACTTGTCCAAGCAAGCCATATAAATCATAAATAGAATTCTGGTTTTCTGATAATTTTTACCACCACTGGGCATGGTGGTACAGATCAGTAATTCCAGAATTTGGGAGGCTGAGGCAGGAGGATCACCAGAAGTTTGAGGCTAGCCTGAGCTATATAGTGAGTTCAAGGCCAGCCTGAACTACAAGCGGAGACCCTGTCTCCAAAACAAATCAAAAAACAAAAAAGGCACAACTAGCTATTGAAGACATAGGCTATGCAAAAAGAAGTAAAACGAGTGGTTACCTTTGTCCAGGGTGGGATCCCTAGTAGGGATGTACTGCCTGGGAGGGGGCCAAAGGGAGCTTTCTGTGGTGTGTAAATATTCTACATGGTGTTCTGGGTAGTTGGACTAACATGTCTACATGTATAAAAACCATTGAGCTGTATATATGTACCTGAGATTATGCAAATTATGCTAAGGAGGTAATCATATAATTAAAAATAAATCTTGGAACTAAACTCCGTGGGTTTTTACGTGCAACAAGACTGTGTATAATAAAATTTTGATATGTGCTTGCAATTAAAACGCCTAAAACACTTTCTTTTTCTGAAACATTTTCATATCTCTTCCCTTTAATCTTTAAGGCTCTTCCTTTCCTCCCGGAAGGGAATCATCTCTCTGGGTAGGAATCTGTTGTTTTTGCCTTCCTGCCATCCACTCTCCCATTTTAGGGTTGAAAGTCCTTTATCCAAAATGGCTAGGACCAGAAGCATTTCAGTTTGGATTCTGGAGTATCTACGTATACAGAATATTGTATTTTGAGGATGGGACCCAAGTCTAAACATAGAATTCATGTATGTTTCACATACTGTCTACCTTACATACCTTGCCTCAGAGGGTAATTTTATGTAGTACTTTTAATAATGTATGTATGAAGAATAGTTTCCACTGTCGTGCTTAAAGTTTCATGGTCTTTTGTTGTTGTTTCTTTGGCACTGGGATTCAAACTCAGGAACTTGCAGTTGCCAGGCAGGCACTTATACTACTGAGCCATATCCCTGGCCCAAAGTTTTGCATTTTGCTGTAGTACAGATTTCAAGTTAGGAATATTCAATCTGTATGTAGAATGAAAGACACTCAGACACCTCAAACAGCTCACAAGGGAAAAGCACACCCAGTCCTAAGAGACTTCTGAGTCCCTTTTGGTGACCTAAAATATTGATAAGCACCTCAAGGCAGAAGAAACTCTTATTGTATTAGTGTAAAAGTACATCTAACTGATGTGCATATTGGGAGGAGTAAATTGCCTTTACATTTAACCAATATTAATCAAGGGGTGTGGTTATACACATCTGTAATCCCAGCACTTGGGAGACAGAGGCAGGAGGAATATTGCAAGTTCAAGACCTGCCCGGGCACCTAGTGAATTCAAGACAAACGAAAACTATATAGTGAAACCCTGTTTCAAAAAACAAAAACAAAAATCGATAATTTGTCTACACGGAACGTTGTCAGTCCTAAATTATTTTTTAGTATTATGAGCCATTTGAAGTATTCAATTTTAGTTTTCCCTAGAGTACTTTTTAAGTTCTTTGTTTTATTTTTTGAGTCCAGGTCTTGATATAGAATTCAGGGTGCCCTTAAATTCATTGTGTAGCCCAGTGTACCCTGGAACAATTCCCCTCCTCACCCTCCAGAGTGTGGGACTAAAGGCATGAATGGCTATGCTTAGCCCCAGAATGTTTGTTACATGAATTTTAAAATTGCACCTCTCTCTTCTCATGGATGCAGTATTTTATCAAAGGGTATTCATGTCCTCTCCTTCTTGTATATTATATTCCTATTGAAGAGGACATCCAAATGATACAGGGGAAACAATCTATCTCCCAACCTGCTAGATATCTGATATGCTGTGTTCCCCCAAATCAAAGCATGAATTCTAAGGAACAGCAGAGGTTAAGAGTAGGAAAATTTACTGGGGAAAAAGAATGGGGAGTAGGAGTGGGGACTACGAATTGCTCTTGAAGAATAGTTTCTCAAAGGAAATTTCTAATAGGCATGGTGGCGCAAGTTTGTAGTAATCCGGCACTTGGGGAGCTGAGGCAGAAGGGTCTCTGCAAGAGACCAGCCTGGATTATGTAGGGAATTCAAAGCCAGCCTGTCTCAAAAAAAAAAAAACAAAAAAAAAAAACTAAGGAAGTCTTGTTTGTTTTTGAGACGGTTTCATTATGCAGTTCAGGCTGGCCTTGGACTCACTGTAGCCTAGATTTGCCTCAAATTTGAAGTGATCTTCCTGCCTCAGCTTTCTAAGTGCTGAGATTACAGGCATATGCTCAGTGCACACAGGACTCAAAAGACGTTTTATAGAGCAAGATGCCATCATGCCTGGCTTGAAATTTCTTAAGCTAAAAAGCTATTAGCTTGAGCCTGGCATAGCCATGTCTCAAAAGAAAGCACTCAAACATACTTTTATCTTGCTTGAGGCTGCCAACAACCTTATAGGGCCAAAGATTATTCTTTGTTTCATAGGTGAGCAAATCAAGAAATGAAAGAGGCTTGCATCTAAAGCAAACTGACAGCACAGGGGCCAGATCTGGAAGGCCTTATTAGAATTTATTGCAAATGTTGAAAATTAGAAAACCACACATAGAAACAAAAAAAAATTTTTTTTCAGCAGCTCTTAAAAAATTACAAATAGGCCTACAATGGGCCCACACTTCCAGGGAAAGTGAATCATGGCTGGTTCTTTCTGAAGAAGTATGACCATCCAGTTTATTGCATTCAGCCTTTAGAAGGCATTTGAATTTGAGACAGGAAAGAGAAACCATTTTACTAGGGAACATAAGAAATTCCGTACATACACAAAAATAAATCTGTAACTCAAGTCAGTTTTCTGGGTCCCACTCAGGGTCCCACTGAGGAGATTAAATGTTAACCTCAGAGACCAGATGCACAAGCAAGAGATACAAATCCACACAGAGAACATGAATATTATTGTTTTATTCCCTGCCCACCCCCATCTACTTGGTAAACAATATTGATTGTAAAACTTGTCAGTCCACAGGCAAAGGCCTGGGACAGAAGGAAGTGAAAGTAGAACAAAAAATGTTTGATGGCCAGGGGTTTAGCTAGGCCACACAAGTGCCTGCCTCGCAAGCCCGAAGTCCTTAGTTTGATCCCCTCCCTGCTACCAAAAAAAAAAAAAAAAAAAAAAGCATTTGATGATAAACTTCCAAAAGGCCTCAGGTGAGGAGGAGCAGAGGGAGATTCTGAAGCACTGGAGTCTAGTTCTTTCCTTGATATATCCACAATCTTGCCCATGTTTAGTTTTTACAGTGCTGGGGTTGAACAGAGGGCTTCAAGCATGCTAGGCAAGTGCTTTACCATAGAGCTACATCCCCAGCTCTAGTTAATTTTTCTTCTACCTCTAGCAAAACTGAACAGGCTATTTAAGTCGAGTTTCATTTTTTTTTTTTTTTGAAATTTTTTTTTTTGTCTTTTTCCTTTTTACTGGTACCAGGGATTGAACTCACGACTGCCTGCTTGCAAGGCAGGTGCTTATGCCACTGAGCTAAATCCCCAGCCCCTAAGTCGAGTTTCATTTTAAATTCTACCCCCAGGCTCCTCAACAGAAGCTCTCCAGCCCTAGCTCAGCTGAGCCTCTAACAGTATCACTGTGAGAGGATCTACCTGAGACCTGGTGTCTCCGTCTGAGAAATGAAAGTACCAGATAACCCTGGCTCTGCTAATCTAGACTCGCTGACCTGCTTCTCACATTTGAAGATAAGTCATTGATGTCTTCTGAATTGGACTGGAATGTCCTAGGTTTGTTTTAAATTATTATTATGTATTTTTTGGCATGCTTATTCTTTGTGGAAAAAAAAAAAGGCCTGATCTGGTTTTTTAGAAGGCACAGAACTGGTTTTTTTTTGGGGGGGGGGGGTTCTTTTTGAGACAGGGTCTCACTAGGCAGTTCAGACTGGTCACAGGCTCACTTTGTAGCCTAGGACTGTCTCAAACTTACAATGATCTTCCTTCCTCTGACTCCTGAGTGCTGGGATTACAGAAATGCACCATCATCTAAGAACTGGGTTGTGAAAGCTGAATAAATGCTTTCCCTGGCTCAGAAGGATCTCAAAATTCTGTACGATTCTTTTTTGTTCTCAGGGGTCCTTTTAGAAGTACTTGCTACCTAGGGCAGCGGTGCACTCCTGTAATCCCTGCTACTCAGGAGGCTGAGGCAGCAAAATCTCAAGTTGAAGGCCAGCCCAGGCAGTTAACAAGATCCTGTCTCCAAAGAGATTGAGGAGTTAGCTCAGCGGTCAGTGTTTGGTTGGTCTCTGTCAGACCCTGGCTTACATCCCTAGCACTGCAAAGGAAGCAGTATCTGTGTGACTATGCATCCAGACCATCCCAGCCTTCTGGAGGAGAAAGAAACCATCTCCTGACACGTGCATGACAGGGGAGTGAACTGTGGGCAGGATGGCTCAGGGCAGTTCTGACAACAAATCATTGACTGCAGAAGCAGAACCTCCAAGAGTGCAATGATTGGATCTGGCTCCCCTGTTTACACATTCGTTGTTCATTCCTAACAACTGGGCCAGGGTACTGTATTTTTAAGCCGTGCAGGTGACAAAGTTGGGACAAGCCCTGCCTTCAAGGCTTTAAAAGGTAGCCCCTGGCTAAGGGTTAGAGCAGGGGCTGACAAATTACAGCTTAAAAGGCCCACTGGTTTTGTAAATAAAGTGTGACTGGAACATTGGCCACATCTTTGCACTTATGTCAATTTGCACTTCGACAGGGTTGAGTAGTTCCAATGCAGGCCACACGGCTAGCAAAGCCCAAAGTCTTTACTATCTGGCCTATTACCAAAAAGCTTGCTAGTTTGTGCTAGAGAAAAGATGACATGCAACTGAAAAATCTGACAGTCAGAAAACACAATTATTTGCATATTAAAATTGCAAAGAAGAGCTTGGCTAAATTAACAAGAAAACATGAACCATTGTGATGCTTGATTACTCTGAAGAGATACCTTTTAATAAAGTTGCTTTTAACACTTACCATGTGTAATTTAACCATATGCACTGATTTAAAACACACACGGAACCCACTATAAGCCAACTAGCACAGATGAAAAAAGTGATTAGTGCCAACTTCTAAAGGAAAACTGGCCAGGCGGAGTCCACACAGAAGAATTAGGAGTACTGTCATTTCCAACTGGACTGAGGACTTCAACAGTAATTTTGACTCAACTTGTTTTTTCCTTGGAGGGTACACTTATACTTACTTACAATTGAGACTTTGGAACTCAATGCTTGAACACATTTATGATTCTGTATAGCTCCACACTAAAGTGCTCAAGGACCTGTTTTAACGGACAGATAAAAATGGCTTGTGAGCCGGGCGTGGTGGTGCACTCCTTTAATTCCAGCACTCAGGAGGCTGAGACATGAAGACTGTTGCAAGTTCGAGACCAGCCTGGGCTACAAAGTGAGGCCAGCCTGGGTTGTAGAGCTAGAAGCCGTGGCTCAAAAAGAGTCTTGTGTATTACATTCTGTTTTTTGGAGTTTGATTTTTAAACAAAGATAGAGGTTGCGTTAGCATTTGGGGCTCACCAAAATAGCCTGGTTTTTTGGCTACTTGAAATAACTGAAATCATACTAATATTACATCTGGATTCTTTTTTAAAAAGACAGATCATTAAATAAAGATAACTATAGCCTGGCCCTGGAGAAATGACCGGAATTAATGAGTGTTTACAGTTCTTGCCCTCTCATTCTCAAACATCATAGATAAATCTCAGGGGGCTGCTGCTGAAAGCAGCCTGCTGCGAACTTCAAGATCAGGGCAGCTTCAAGCAGAAAATGTCATGGATGAGGGCTGGGAGAAGATTCTACAGAACCTCTTCACATAAGAGCGGTGAGGAATACTGTACAAGGGCACTTCAGTCACATCACAGATGCTGCCCCTGAGGTGCAGAGCACACGTCTGCGTGAAGGACAGGCTCCCACATGCCAAGCCCAGTTCTTACATGTAAAAGCTTTGGGATGCACCCTCCTCCACACAAGATGATATATCCTATAGGACTTAGAGGTAGTGAATGTGTGCATATGAAAATCAAACCTCTTTTGTAAAGCCCACAGTAAGAAGCTTTAAAAACAGATGGCTGTATGCCAGAAAACCAGTCCCATGGTGGGAAGAAATTTAAGTGAAAAGTGAGACAATGTCCAGTGTGTAGGCCCTTTCCAAGTATGAAAGGAGTCTGGATATTGAACAATCTCACATCCACTGAAAAATGTGCATTCTTCTAAATGCTTTAAGAAGGCTTTGTACTAAGGACAAAATGTACCTCTTGGGAAGTGAATGTGCAACTCTAATTTCCCATGAAATACAGGGCTAAAATTTGAGTCCAGCCTGAAAAGCTAATGAGCAAAGCCCCAGTATTGTCCATCAAAGGCAAAAAAGCACTCATTTACATTTTATGACAAGAAAATCAAAACAGACCCTTAAAGCAATTATGTTGGTTCATTAGGCTACATTATCAACCCCCCACTCCCCTGAAATACTGTGTTAAGCAACAGATGTCGCATCTCTGCTGGTAGCAAAATTTTTACAAGAGTCAAAAAAATGAGATACAAAAGGTGATTTACAGCACCCCCAAAATACTTTTCCCTCCCAAATGAAATGAGTCTTGAGTCTTTTCTAGCCCTTTTGCTTCGGACCAGCTGGCAGTGATTTTCCAGGTGCTTTACTCCTCCATCTGGGCCCAGGCCTCCTCTGCCTTCTCATAATACTGGTTGGCGAGCCGGCCCTTCATGGCTTCCATCGCTGCCTCTGCTGCCTGGGTGTACAAGTCCCCTAAAAGAGAGAAGAGTGGGGCATAGAGCTGTAAATGCCCATGATCTTTGCCAGCCTTTCCTCTCCTACACCTCCCAGCAGAGCACCCTGTAATTTCCATAGGAATCCAAACCACTCCTGTGCCCTCTCCTTCCAGGTAATGGGGCAATCTGAAGATCTAGGGCAAGCAATCAAACCTGACCAATCAGAGCACTCCCCCATTCTCCTCCATGTGGATTGGCTGAGACTTAGGCATGGCCAATCAAAGTAAGTCATCTCAGTGACCACAGAGACTGGTTCAGGGATTCAGTAGTGATTCTATTTGAGCTAGTGAGAACCAGGATGAGAACTTGTATAGAAGGAAATGAGAATGTATGAAAGTAGAATAAACATTCTAAATATCAGCCCAGTTATAGGTTTTCCCACCAAAACATACTAAACACTTTTGGTTTTTTAAGCTTTTTAGATTTAGCAATTTCAAACAGGAAATTCTAGATTTGCTTTATTATTTGCTAACTTTTAAAATTACAACTTTCTTTTTTGGGTGTTGGAGAATGGAACTATAACACGTTAAGCAAACACTCTACCACTGAATTACATCTTTAGCACCTTTTCTGCAACTTTAAAAAACAGCTTCTAAAATTTAGCTTCATCCTGTACCTGTAAAGCCAGAAGTTTAATGTGTTTATTTTAGTGAAGGACTGGATGTTTGCCTCTACCTCTCTCTTTGGGTTTCCCACTCACAAATTCATATGTTGAATCCATAATATAACTGTATTTGGAGGCAGGGGCTCAGAGACTGTGGCAAAGATCACATAAGATCAGAGGTGTGGGGCCCTAATAGAAAGGAGCTGGAGCCCTTGTAGGAGAAGGAAGAGCGAGAGCAGAGCTTGTTCTCTACTTGCACACAGAAGAAAGATCATGTGTAAACACAGGAAGAAGATGACCACTTGCCACAAACAGAACTGGCCAGCACCTTGGATATCCTAGCTTCTAGAAGGATGAGAACTAAATTGCGGGGGAGCTTAGGGGTGTGGCTCAGTGGCAGAGCACTTGCCTAGCATGCATGAGGCTCTGGATTTAAAACAAATATTTTGGCCGGACATGGTGGTACACGCCTATAATCCAGCACTTCAGAAAGGAGGCTGAGGCACAAGGCCAGCCTGAGCTACACAGTGAGACTGTCTCAAAAAAAACCACAAAAAAATCAAAACAAATTTTTGTTGTCTAAGTCTCAAATCACTTCAAGCAGAGTAATACATTTGTGTAACAAAAAAAAAATATGTAACTAGTCCATTAACTGATGGATAAACAAAATGTGGCAAATAATCCATAGAGATACATATAGACAGACAATCAATTAGCGATTACAAGGAATGGGAGGTGAGCAGGAGTGACTGCCAACCAGAATAAGGCTTCTTTTTAGGGAGGTAGAAATACTCTAGAAATAGGTACTGGTGAGGGTTGAGCACTACTATGAAAAAACTGTACACTTTAAGATAGTGAATTTTATGCACCCTTTTAAGAACTGCAGCTCAGTTCTCAAAATTTCAACAAACTCCTCCCCCCAAATACAAATAAACAGTGGTCCCTTAGTGTCTATGGGGCATTAGTTCCACTATCTAATGTGGATGCTAAAATAAAATGGCACAGTATTTGCAAATAACCTACATACATCCAATTGTACAGTTTAAACCATCTCTACATTATACCACATTAATTATAATATTTAATACAACACTTGTTATGTAGATGGCTGTTTTATTGTATTCTTCAGGGAATAAGAGCAAGAAAATATCTTTTTAGAGCAGATACAATTTCTGAAGCAAGTTTTTAAGCTGCTTGTGGTGGCACAAGTGATCCCAGCACCTGGTTGAGGCAGGAGGACTGCATGTTTAAGCCCAGTCTGGATAATTTAGGAACTTTGCAAGACTGTCTCAGAATTTAAAAAGAAAGAAAGAACGAAGAAAGAGAGAGAGAGACAAAAAGGGAGTATGTGTTGGGGATGGAGCTCAATGTGAAGATCCTGGTTTCAATTCTCAGTGCTGAAAAAAAAATTCATCTGCATACCAGTTCCATAAAACTCCTTTTGTGGGGGGAACTTAGGCTGGAACCTTGTCATAATTCCCAGCAGGATGAGAACTACAACCCTGCCTGCCCAGCCCTCCCAACCCAGGGGACAGGAACACCAGGCCCCACCTGATCTCTGTGGGTCCTTCTCCAGGCCACAGCCACCTGTGAGCAGCATCTCGGCTTCCCTGGCCAGCAGTGCATACTGGGGCTCGTGCTGCATCCCATCAAACTCACCGCCCTCATCACAGTCTGTGGTCTCCAGGGCAGTGTTGTACCAGTGCAGGGCCTCAGGCCAGTCTTGGCACCTTGCCAGGGGAAAGAGGAAAAGAGGGATGTCACCATGGCAGTGGTAGAGGGCAGGGCCACCACCTCTGGTTCATAACCTCTAGCTCTCAAGGTTACTCCATCCAAGGGTCTCCATATAAAAGGAAGACCTTTGTCTAGATTGCATATAGGCACCCTTTGGGTTGGCACCAGCAGCAGCTAAGTGTCCTCAATAAGCTGCCCTTTGACTAAAGTAGGAGAAGAGGTGGGCAGAAAACCCTCTGCAGAGGTCTCCGGAGCTATCTGAGCTCTCAGCAATCGTGCAGCCCTTTTGCTTTGCTTGCATGGTCTGCTCTGACTCTTCCAGCTCGACGTGCATCTCACCCCTCCTGTCACACAGCCTCTCTCCCTCCAGCTCCTTCTCCTATGGCACCATACATACGGCCAAAATGTCACAGTTATTACAGGTTTCGGCCAATCTCACACAACCCAACACTCAAAGCTACCAGGGCATCGGGGTGTCTTGCTCTGGATGTAATCAGTAGGACCAACTACTTACAGAACATCAGGAAAGAGCAAAGAGTCACAGACAAGAATGGCCACGGTATCTGATGATCTGCTGTCCTTCCCTCACTGCCTCGGATTCCTCTGCCCTACACTCTCAGCTCCTGTTCATCTCTCTCCATACAAACATGCCAGCACCTGCCTGCTCCTTGGCCTTTGCACCTGCTGTCCCCTGGCTTTGGGGCATCCTTCTCCTAACTCTTCCCATACCTGGCTCCTCCTTCCTCCAGTCTCACCTCACATGTCCCTTCTTAAGGGATGCTATCTCCACACACCCTGTTTCTTGCAATTATTGTAACTTTTAATTCTTCTTGTTCCCCTTTGTTGTGGTCTCCTTTGACAGAAGGCCCAAGAAGACAAGAGCCTTGACTGTTCTGTTTACTGCTGCAGTCCCAAGGCCTGGCTTGGAGCACAGGCTCGGTAAGTGTTTGCTGAATGAATAAATATGAACAAGTGGCTGTTAGGGATGATATTCAGCAGCTAACCATCATTCTATTTTATCTTACTAAAAATAGAAATCATTTGAAAATTATTGGCAAGATACTCAAAAACCAGGGTTGTAACACTGGACTAGAGGCTATCAGAAGGATGACTTCACCTCTTCTGTTTGTGATCCTCCTCAGTCCTAAAGGTCAAAGCACAATTTCCTGAAAATACTAAAGGGGAAAGGGCCTAATCTTTCCCTGCCTCACTGTCTCAAAGGTTAGGGTACCCACAATGCACTGGAATTTTCCATGACCTGTCATTTCCCATTAGACAGAACTTTTGAGGAGACTACAATTTTCTAAATACAAATTTGGGCCTAGATGGAGGCCTGCCTTACCCGTAATTAATGTTCCTTGAATGGAAGAGGCTAGAGCTGCTTAGAATGAGGGAGAAGAATAAAACAAAGACTACAGGAGAAGCTGTAAGGGAAAATTTTGATAGATTTAGCTACCTAAATATTAAAAAGCAGTGAGTCAGCCAGGTGTGATGGTGCATGCCTGTAATCCCAGCATTTGGGAGACTGAGGCAGGAGGATCACTGTTGAGTTCCAGGCAGCCTGGGCTAGATAGTGAGTTCAAGGCCAGCCTGAACTGCATAATGAGACCCTGTCTCAAAAAACAAACAATAAAAACAAGAAAACAACAACAGTGTGTCCCCAAATCCAATAAACAGTAGTCGTTATGTACCTTTGTGCCCCCTGCCCCTGTCTATGGTAGCTATCTCTGATAAACTCTTTTAAGGAGAAATATATACCAAGGGTTAATAGTCTTATTGTATAAAGAGTTCTGACAAATCAGTAAGAAACTATCACTGTAAATAAAAACTTAAAAGTGGAATTTAAAAGAATAGATATAAAGCCATGCAGGGTGGTGCATGCCCTGTAATGCCAGCACTTGGGAGGCTGAGGCAGGAGGATCATTGCAAGTTTGAGACCAGCCTGGGCTACAATGTGAGCTGAAGCCCAGCCTGAGTGCATAGTGAGACCATGTCTCAAAAACACACAAAAAAATTATATACATACATACATACATATATATATATATATATATATATATATATATATGAAGTAGAGAAAAAACAGGAATAGAAAGCACAGCTAGGAAAGCCTTCTCAGGGATTTTAGGTGTAAATATTCAGTGCCCAGTTCCACCCTCCACTATGCATGCCTATTTTTCCAGGGCACTCAATGGGCACCAACCACATACATTGGCATTTGATCTGATACAATCACATCAGTTTTTTTCTGTTTATCTTCCCTCCATGTCAGTGTAGGTCTAAGTCTGCTGGGAGGCAGGTGAATAGAGACTATATCAGATGCAGGATGAAAAGACCTAAGTTTCCACTTACTAGGACAGGTTGTGGATCCCTAATCTGAAAATCGAAAACCCAAAAAGGTCCAAACTCAGAGTGCTAAGGTGACCTAATATATGGAATTTCCACATCTGATTTCCTGTGATAGTAGGCTGAAGTCACACTGCAGGTGTACTAAAGTATCACACAAAACTACCTCCAGGGTATGTATCTAAGGTGTGTATCAAACATAAATGAATTTATGTTTCACATCCAGATCTGGATTTCATCCCCAAGATACCTCATTTGTAAATGCAAATATGCTAAAATCTGAAAAAAAAAAACCCAAATTGGAAATATTTCTGGTCCTAAATATTTGGAGTAAGGGATACTCAACCTGTATTTGATCATAGGCAAGTCTGTATTTGATCATAGGCAAGTCTCCACTTCCCAGAACTAGAATTTAGTCAGCCATTAAATGGGACCCCAAATACCCACTTTGTGTACCATAGAGATGTCCACTCATTCCAACAACCACTAAGTCAGATCCTGTGCAGAGCCCTGGAACACAAGAATGCAGGTGATCTGATGCCTGTTCTCACTGAGGTCAAGGCACACACTGCAAGTGGTTTCCAAGGGTAAGAAGCATTGCTGTTACCCAGTAGGATCTGATACATGTTAGGAGTTCCTCCAGATCTCCTACTGGCCAAAACAAGGAGCCAGGGTGAAGCTGGGCCACCTTCCTCTCCTCCCGCCACAGGCACCACCCCTGACATCTCAGCCTGGTGGATAAATGAAAAGTATGGACACTCCAGGAGTCTCAAAACCACTGCAGAAAACTCACCCTGGCATTTGCTTCCTTTCTGGCCCTGCTTTCTTGACAGAAATAAAACAAAAATAGGAGGAGTCAATTAAAACCATCTGAACTCCTGCAACCAAGGGATACTACTCTGAACCTGATGCATCAGATTTTTTCCTCAGGCAAATCCTTAAAGATAGTGGCTAACACTATATACTTTACGGGTGCTATGCGAATTCTAGGAATTCTGTCATGGAACTATCCAGGAGACAGACTATAATCATTTTCCTTTGATGAAATGAAGAAACCGGGTCCCCGGAGGTAAACTAACTTGACCCTGGTCACTGGACTGGTAATGGCTGGAGCTAAGACTGGAACCCATGTCTGTCCTGATACCGAAAGGGAGGCCCCACTACAGCCCGCACTTCTACCAGCTCCTCCCGAGCGACAGCCACAGTACCTGTCGGGGCTGAGGTTCTGGCCGGTGTCAAAAGCTCGTGCCACAAGGATCATGGATTGTCGGTCACCAGCTTTGGCTGCCTTCAATAAGTAGTTAAATCCTATTGTTTTATTTTTTTCCGTTTCCTGTCAACATAGGCCAAAGGAGAAGAAAAAAAGCAAAAAAAAAAAAAAAACATTTTTGAAGGGAAGAGGGACAACCAAGATCTTACCAATCAGTCTTCTCCACACTTTTTAGAATTTTGAGAATTCTGAGCCAGAAATTCTGTAGTGTGTGTGTGTGTGTGTGTGTGTGTGTGTGTGTGTGTGTAGTACGGGGCCTTTGTAGTAATCTATACCCCCAGACTTACCCCCAGCATAATGCAATTGTGCAATCATCACTAGAATCAATCTTCAAACTACTTTCATCAACCCAAAAAGAAATGCAATTCCTTTTGATTTTTTTTTTCTTTTTTTTTTTTTTGTCTTTTTTCGTTACCAGGGATCGAACTCACGACTGCCTGCTTGCAAGGCAGGCGCTTACGCCGCTGAGCTAAATCCCCAGCCCCCGCAATTCCCTTTAACTATCAATCTCTCCCTACCCTCAATTTCTCCACTCCATCCAGCCCGAGGCAAAAATCAGTTTATGTTCTATCCCTGTGGATTCTGGATATTTCATATAAATGGAATCATAGAATATGGGGCATTTTAGATCTGGTTTCTATGACTTCCTGTGATGTTCTCATGGTTCATCCATTGCATCATGAGCATTGGAATTTTATTGTTTATGATGAAGTAATTTTGGAGGAGTATCGGGATTTGAACTCAGGACCACATGTTAGCCAGTGGCACACGCTATGTACTCAGCTAAACCCCTGGCCCATGAAATAATATTCCATTGTGAGGCTATATCGCACTGTGTTTATTATTCATCTGTTCTTTAGACTTTATGGCTAGTATGTATTTATTCCCTTGAGCATATAGCTACTTGAGTGAATTGTGGTCACATGTAACTGTGTTAAGCCTCTGCATGTGTGTGAGTGTGTGTGTGTTCTTGGGGACTGAATCCAGGACCTCATACACATAACTTTACCACTGAGCTGTATCTCCAGCTCTTTTAAAACTTTATTTTCAGGCAGGGTCTGCTAAATTTCCCAGGTTGGGCTTGTACTTACAAAGCTTTCCCGAGTTTGTTGGGATTATAGTTGTATACCACCACATGGACTGTTTAGATTTTTTGCTTTTTGGGTTTTTTCTTTTCTTTTTTTTTTTTTTTTTTTTTTTTTTTGCTACCGGGGATCAAACTCACGACCTTGTGCATGCCATGCAGGTGCTTGTGCTGCTGAGCTAAATCCCTGGCTATGTTTAGGCTTTTGAGGAGCTATCTGGCTGGTTTCCAGAGTGCTACACCATTGTGACTCCCCACTAGTGGTACAGGTGGGCTCCTGCTTCCATTCTGCTCCCCCATGATCCACCTCACAGCAGCAAGAAAGATGCTTGCAATGCCTAAATTGGATCACATTACTTTCTGGAAACTCCTCCACAGTTTCCTATCTTATTCAGAGACAAACCCAAAGCCCTCACAGTGGCCTGTGAAGTGCCTCAACCTTCAAAAAAGCTGTCAGGGACTACCTGCTGCGTACATACTGGCTCTTCCTGCCATGTTTCTGATAGGCCTATGGTTAGCCAACCCAAAACTACATTTCCCAGCCTCCCTTGCAGCCAGAATTTGTGTCTAACATGAGGAACTTCTCCAGCCTCTCATGACATTCACTTATTTCTTCTAGGCATTTTAGAACAATACTTAGCACAGGAAAATACTTAAATAAAGGTTATTTTTAATTATGCTGGAAGCACTTTATTTGTTCATCATTACCTGTATTAATAAGCTTTTCCACCCAAAAAATTCTGCTCCATGAGAGCAGGGACCTTGCCTGTCTCCCTCACTGCTATGAATATAGTGAGCCGAGGAAACTAGAGGGCAGGGAAGCAGGAAATGTCTGTTCTTCTAACATCAGAGGCTGAGCTAAAAACAGCAGCGTATTGTTTTAAAGGACAAGGGCTGGGGTAAACTGAGATACGGCCTGGGCAGCTGAAGATGCAAGGGAAGTCTCCTCCTGATCTCAGAAGCCTCGTAAAAGCAGCAACTGCATTGTTTCATTGTCTCATTTTCTGCACACCCACCAAAAGAGCCCAACACAGTATTCATAAACCCAAGTTTGGGCGCCTCCTGGGTGTTTTCCCTTTCAGTTAGCAAGAGCTTTTCTTTTTCTTTTTCTTTTTTTTTTTTTTTTTTTTTTTTTGTGTGGTATCAGGGATCGAACTCAGGAAGAGCTTTTCTTTGTTTTTTATTATAAACTATCCTTGGTTTATTCCTACTGCTGTGTTCCTGGACTTCATTCTTTGTCATCCTCAGGATAAGAGCCCAGAGGGAGGAGGACATTGGTTACACTAAGATATTGTTCAGAGTATATGGAATGCTCACAAACCATGTGTGACCAAATGCATAAATGAATGCCATAGCAAGACAACAGGAAAACATCCAGAGAATGAGGGGCCTGGAGAAGTGAGTGAGGGGCTTTCTAGTGCACCCAGTAGCCTCTCAGGGTGCACAGCCATCATTCCTTGCTAAGCCACAAAGCTGGCTTGAACAGCTCACTTTTTTCTCATATGTCCTGTCCTAAGCACACTGCTCTTTGCCACCCAGCTCCTGCCAGAGGGAGTTTCCAGTCTGATCATTAGAGAAAGTCCCTTGTAGTACCTCCAGGACAGAATACTTATTAAGCCCTTTATAATACTGCTGGGTGCAGGGTAGTAACAGCCTGCAATCCCAAGAGTCAGAGAATCATAGAGATGGGATGCCCCACGGTCCTGGTCTTGGTCCTGTGTCCCTCGCACTCTGTGCTAGGCATTCCTTCAAAGAAGCTGACATGTGTAATACTCTCAGGTAGATGCTGGGCCATGCTGGAAGGCAACAGTATTCAGGAGTAGGCTCCAACAGGCTCTAGAGAATAGACTTCAACTTTCAGGAATTTACCAAATCAGTGAAAAAGCACAGCCATTATTGGAAATTCGATCACAGGCTGGAGGTACAGTGCAGTGATAAAGTGCCTGCCTAGCATGAAGAAGGCCTTGGGTTTGATCCACATCACTGAAAAAAAGTTACATAAACTTACATAATGAGACGGATCACATTAGAGATAAACGTATTGGGGCTGGGGATTTAGCTCAGCGGCATAAGCACCTGCCTTGCAAGCAGGCAGTCGTGAGTTCGATCCCTGGTACCGATAAAAATGAAAAAGACAAAAAAAAAAAAGGAAAAAGAGATAAACGTATTAGGACTGGGGATATAGCTCAGTGGCACAAGCACCTGCCTGATAAGTGCAAGGTCATGAGTTTGATGCCTGGTACCAAAACAGAAACAAAGGTATTAATACTCAAAACTCATCACTTCTTAATTAATTTTACTATGATCTATACTTTTGTGGCTACTTATGTCTACGCTGGGGTTTTTGCATCTCAGAACTATAGTCTTTTGTGCTATACAAATTCTTCTCTGTGGGGCCGTCCTGTCCTTTCATTCATACCACCAGGACCCCTTCTCCATCCTTTCACCAGATGCTGGCAGCACTTCATTAGTAGTGACAATCAAAAGTATCTCCAGGCATTGCTAAACATCCCCAAGGGAAGCAAGAAGCCAAATGTCTAGTTAAGAGTACCCATTGATTTTTTTGGTTTTTTGCTTGTCTCACTCTGTAATTGAGACTGGCCTTGAACTCACTACAACAGCCTCTCCTTCCCTTCCCTTCCCCAGTCTAAAAATATGAGACTCTTTACAAATTTCTATGTCATCCTTATGCAGGGGCCCTTGCTAATGATCTCTGTGGTTTTGCAGTTTTAGTATGTGTGCAGCTAAAGCAAAAACTCAATAGGTAGCTGGGTGTGATGACACACGCCTATGATCTCAGTATTCAGGAGGCTAAGGCAGGAGGGTTGCCATAAATTCGAGGCCAGCCTGTACTAGTGAGTTCAAGGCCAGCCTGAACTACCATAGCAAGACCCTGTCTCCAAAAAAGCAAAAAAGAAAAGACATGGATGGAAAAAATAGAAATACTACACATTAAATTTAACTGTGTCATGTCTATATCCTATTATGACTAGCACAGGAAATTGGGGGAATGTTTTTCCAGCATATAAAACTATTATCTGATTCATACTGAGCATAGTGGCCCACACCCATAAACCCAGGACTCCAGAGGCTGAGGCAGGAGGACTGCCATAAGTTCAAGGCCAGCCTCAACTATACAGCAAGACTCTGTTCAAAAAAACCAAAATCAATCAATCAACCAACCAACCAATCAATCAAATTTATCTAGTTCAGGAAAGAATTTGCTCTTTTCTGTGGCAAATGAAATTCCGGTTCTAAATCTTTGTTATTTTGCTTTCTCCCCCCAGCCCCTGGTACTGTGGATTGAAGTCAGGTCACCAGTGCTTTTATATTTTGTGACAAGATCTTGCTAAGTTGCCCAGACTGGGCTGAAACTTGTGATTCTCTTGCCTCAGCCTCACAGAGTTCTGGGATTACAGGCATGCACCACCATGCCCAACTTCATCTTACTTTTAAGTACATGAAAATATCAATCAGTATTTATGTCAGAATTATATTGTCCATAAACTGTAACCACTGGCTGGTGATGCATACAAGAGTTCTAAAGAAAAATCAATGAAAGAATTCTGTGAGAATCAATTAAAGATATGAAACTTACAGTTTTATTGCTGCTTGTAAGATATATGTTACATATTCTTTGTATCAGCACAATGTGTAATACATGCATGTATGTGCATGTCGTCCTTCTGTACTCCCAGAAGTCAACTGTTCAATTTTATTGTTGACTGAATGAGATATATTTGGCCTGTTTTCAAGAAGCACAGACATAGGAGAGACAAATCAAGATTCCTTCTCCCAAACAAGCTTGTTCCTCAACCTTTAAAGGGGAAAATAAAAACAGCTGTGGAGCTGGGCTGATGGCACACATCTAAGTCTCAAAACTCTGGGAGGCTGAAGCAGGAGGACTGAAAGTTTGAACTCAGCCTGGGCAACTTAGCAACCTAGTGAAATCCTACCTCAAATAAATGGGCAGAGAATGTAGCTCAGAGCAAAGGCCCTACATTCTATCCTCACTACTAAACAAATAAATAAAAACACCAGCAGTGGGACAGGCCCTGCCTGCATGCCAAATGTGTTTGATCCACAAGAAACTACCAACATTCTACAGACATTCTCACAATCTACAAAAAATGACTTCTGTACATTTGACTGAATGTATACAACAAGGCTACTCTTGGCAGCAATTTTTGTGATATCAAAAGAATGGAACCAGCAGGGCATGGTGGCACATGCCTGTAATCTCAGCACTTGGGAGACTGAGGCAGGAAACTTGTTTTGAGTTGAGAGCAGCCTGGGCTACGAAGTGAGCCCAATGTCAGCCTGAACTACACAGTGAGTCCTGTCTCAAAAATAAACAAACAGTTACTTGTTAAACTGAGAACGAAAGGGAAGGAAGTAGACAAAACAGTTTTACTGTAAACATTTTCATATGGAAAAAGTTTCAGCCACATGAGTGTACTACCTATTCAAAAAGTTAAATGAAAGACTTCAGAGTTCTTTCTTACACTGAGATCCAGGCAGTCACTGGCTGTGGTCAAGCCCTAAGGAGGGTCTGAATCCACATGGAGCCCAGGCTTGCCCAGTGTCCTGTCCAGCTGCTACCCTGGCCCAAGTGATGGGGGAGGATGAGGACAGACATGCCCACCAATGTCCTCTCAACATCTCCCAGGAGAAGCTCTCAGTCGCTAGGCCTTGCGAGATCCTGGCCACTCGTCCTTTCTCCCTATGGAGGAGGGAAGAAAGCCCTACACGATTTCCAACACATCCTTGTGCTTCAGATCCCGCCCTCCAGCCCCAACTCCGACACTGTCCTAGCCCCACAGCCTCACCTTTTGGCCCCTACCCTGTCATCCTGTCTCCAGCTCTGGGCCTAAACATGCGCAGTTCCCTTGGCCCACCTGGTCACTTTCATTCAGGCTTTATCTACCTCAGACATCTCACTCTGTGACTGAATGAGCATGGACTAAGCGCCATACTCTCCTCTAGCCACTAAGAGTACGGCCAAAGCTGGCACTGAAGAGGCTGGGCAGACCCTTAAAACCCCCGTCAGTTGTAGTCCTAGCTACCTGGAAGACTGAGGCAGGAGACCAACCTGGGCAACCTACAAAGAAACTACCCTAAGAAAGAAAAAATAAAGCTAGGGTGTAGCTCAGTGGTAGAGTGCTTGCTGAATACATATGAGGTTCTGAATTCAACCCCCGGTACCACAACAAACCCATTTAGACCCCTTTCTCACTTTTCCACCAATGTTTTTACTTACCCCATCAAACTCTGTCTTTACAGCCTAAAAATGTGACTGATGTGGATGCCACCTCCCATACCGTCTCCAAAGATTTTTTTGGTGGCGGCGGAAGTGTTACTGGGGATTGAACTCACGGTCTTTTCACCTAGCTACATCCCTAGCCCTTCCCACATTTTTGAAGTTTTCTTTGATTTTTGTTTTGTTTTCTGAGATACGGTCTCACTATGTAGCTCAGGGCAGCCTTGAATTCACCAGAGAGCCCAGAATGGCTTTGAATTTGCGGTAACTTTCCAGCCTCAGCCTTCATCACAGACACATACCTCCATGCCTAACAACTTTTCTCTTTTGTCTCTTCTGAGACAGTGTCACTAAATTGCCCAGACTGGACTCAGACTTGTGATTCTCCTGCCTTAGCTTCCTAGAGAGCTGGGATTATAGATGTGAGGCACCAGGCTTGGCTGACAGATCAATTCTATTAGTTTCAAGTAACTGTGAAGTAAGATACAAAAACAACAAAAACTGTGAGGAAAAAAAAAAAAGCTGGGGATTTAGCTCAGTGGCATAAACGCCTGCCTGGCAAGTGCAAGGTTGTGAGTTTGATTCCCAGTACAAAAAAAAAACCCTAACTGTAAAGTGCCTGGCCCCAAACCAATGCCCACAGTGACTGTATAGTATGTCTTCCCTTTCAGGAGACAGGCAGCAGCCTCCAAGACAAGAAGGCTGGTGAGTGATAGAGTGAGTAGCCGAGCCCTCACATTCTGCTGCCTCCCCACCACCCCCTCACCTTCAGAGAGACATCAGCCAGGATGTGGTGGGGCAGCTGTGAGTACATGAGCCCCAGGCCCACGATGGCCTCCAGCTCGCCCAGGTCGGCTGCGTGTTCCAGGTGGAAGATGGCCGACTCTTGGTCCCACTCCTCATCCTTCTTGCAGAAGCGGCCGCCCTCATGGTAGCGCACCATGGCCAAGTGGACCTGCCACACAGACTGCGGTGTTGGCCCAGCTGTCTGGGAGGCTGAAGCCACACCCAGGGGCCGCCCAGCCAGCCTGTGGGAGGAGGTTAGTGAGTAAAGACATGAGCTGGGGGCTCTGGGTTAGTGCAGGGAGAGCTCCAAAATGGGCAGTACGGATACCTTCCCCAAAACAGACTTTCCAATCTTCTTTTCATGATTCAGAGCGTTAAGCCTTTCTACTTCCAGGGCCACAGCTGAAGGCCTTGGCAGGTGGAGGCGGGAGGGGTTGAGGAGGTTCCACTTCTCCACACAGACCTAAGAGAGACAAATCGGGCAGGGGGAGTTTATGGCCTGACAAATGCATGGCTGGGCAGGGACTCTCTGTTGCAGAGGAGCCTTGCTGATGAGAGGAGAAGCAAATTGTCAGTGTCTAAGTTTGTTGCCTTCAATTTTAGTCATTTACATGCCAGTAGCTCATGGGTGCAGAGAGACTGCAGCACCAAGACACACAACTAGCAGAAGGGACTACAACAGCTGAGAGAAGCATTTTCCCTCATCTCTCAACCTAGGCCTCTCCTTTTCCAGCTCCCCATTCAAGACACTAAAAAGTCAGGCTTTAGCAAACCCACTTGCTTTGCTATATGAATCAACCAGGAGAATCCACATGATATCAGCTGAGTATCTGAAGGAGTAGGTTTAGAAAGCAGTCAAAGATCCCAGTCAAAGATGCCCTGTCCAAGGTTCTCGCAGAACATGACCAGGTGGCTCTGTGCTTTTGCACACGTGTCTGCTGAACATCCTATGACACACAAGGCATGTCCACTACAAAGAACACTCCAAGTCAGAACAGCAACGTGCTGCTGCTGAGCAATCCCACCCCACTCCAGGCTGAGGAGCCCCCCAACCCAACTGAGAAATAGCTCTGAGTCCTGGACAGCACTGTGAGAGGACCAAGAGTCAAGTCTGCTGGGCAGGTGAGGGAAGGCATCTACAGGAAGTACAGTAAGAGGAGGAGGAAGCATCTAACAGATGGAAAAATCTTAGCAAAGGCTCAGAGCGGGTGAAGTGTGAGGCATTCGGGAGTCAGCTAGAGAAGAGCCTGTGGGGTGCAGGGCTTGTCTTTCCCAGATTTTCCAGATGCCAGTCATCATCTGAGATACTGTATTTATTATAATATAGGCTGAGCATCCCCAACCTGAAAACCCAAAACCTGAAAAGCTCCAAAATCCAAAATGTTTTGAGTATCAGCGTGACATTGCAAGTAGAAAACTACACACTGACCTCATGGTACAGGCCTTGATCAAAACCAGGTAGGTTAAAAGTAATGTATAAAATTGGGGCTGGGGTTTTAGCTCAGCGGCATAAGCGCCTGCCTTACAAGCAGGCGGTTGTGAGTTCAATCTCCGGTACTGATAAAAAGGAAAAAAGACAAAAAAAAAGTAATGTATAAATTGTCTTTAGCTATGTGTCTTTGGCAGGTGGGGGGGGGGGTACTGGGAATTGAACTCAGGACCTTGTGCTTGCCAAGCAGGTTCTGTGCCACTGAACTACATTTCTGGCTAGGCAATGTATCTAAGGTGTACATGAAACATAAACCAATTCCATCTTTAGATTTGGGTCCCACCCTCAATTTATTTCATAATGTATATGCAAGTATTTGAAAATCAAAAAACATCTGAAGCCCAGATAGCTGAAGTCCCAACATTTTCAATAAGGAATAATCAACCTAGACTAGCTGATAATTCAGGAAAGCTGCCTAGGATTTTTGCTTGCTTGTTTTTTAGTACAGCCTGTCCTTCAACTCATTTATGTAGTTGAGGCTGGGCTCAAACTCACGGTGATCCTCTTGCCTTTGCCCACTCAGCACTGGGATTACAGGCGTGTGCCACTACGCCTGGCTAGGATTTTAGTTTTCACAAACATAAAATAGGAATGCAAAAATTGGGCATGGTGGCACACACTTGTAATCCCAGGGACTTGGCTGAGGCAGGAGAATCCTGAGTTCAAGGCCAGCCTGGGCTACTTAGTGAGAACATATCAAAAAAAAGAAAGAAGGAGGGTGGAGAGAGGGGAGAAAGAGAGAGAGAGAGAAGGCAGGTGGTTGGCTGCGCATATCCCCCAGTGGCAAAGTAATACTGTGTTTGATCCCCAGTACTACAAGAAAAGAAAGTATGTGAGGGGGTTGAATAACAACAGTCTATCTCAGTGGCTGCTTGCAGGCATAAATTAATTCTCTGAGGCGCCTCCGAGTCAAGTACTTTAACGCATAACAGTAGCTATCACTGTCATCTCCCCTCATGACCAAATCTTTAATTCACCCTACAGCCCCAGCACCTGGCCCAGGACAGGATCTCAAATTTGGTCCTGTGCAAAATAGACATGTGCAAGGTGGACAGACAGGCAGCAGTAACATGAGAGAGGAGAAACAGTACCAGAGCCCAGGAAAGGCCAGCAAGAGGTGTGAGTAGGGCTTATAGGGGCACATTACCCGTCCGGCACTGCCCAGGCTGTCTTCATCAGACTCTGACCTCCGTCTGCCGTTCAAGTGACCCTGAGTGGAAGCAGAGATGGAGCATCTAAGGGAGGACCTCCTTCCAGGAACCTCCCCTGCAAACTGGTCCACAGCACCATACACAGCTGACCCTCCTCAGAGCCCCACTTCCCGGGATGCTCCCCAGGTAAAGCTGAAACCCTCATCTGCCAAGGCGAAGGGCTGCTGGGTAGGTAAGTATGAGGCACCGGCATGGATGCAGTCCTCCCTTTCCTCTCCCAGCCGGAAGAGGTGGATCCAGCCCAAAGCCTCAGGAGCCTGCGCAGCACCCCTGGGGAAATGGTGCGCCAGTCTCCCTCTCACCAAAGCTTCTCCTGCTTGCTTGCTATTCACAGTCACATAGCTGGGACCAAGGGCTTCCTAGCAAAAAGGCCTTGATACACAGCCTCAACTTTGGCACATGGTGAAGGCTCTGAACGCTGATACTCTGGAGCCTTGACCTGAGGCTGCCAGGATTGTGTGCCTCTGAGGTGGCCCAGCTACCTGCACAAATACTGGTCTCACCTAATACTCCACACCCTCTCCTCAGCAGCCAAGAGCTCCCACTTCACTGTAAGATCTGTGCACCATTTCAAACTTGTACCCATCTCTCCACACCCGTCCGCTTCCTGGTGCACATCGCCCTGCTTTACTGTCCTCCCTGCATTCATTCTCATTGGGAAAAAAAAATCTCCTTAGTTTCCCCTGACATAACTTCATTCTGCTAGCTTTTTTTTTTGAGGCAGGGTCTCACTATGTAGTGCAGGCTGGCCATGAACTCACTGTACTGCCCAGACTGGCCTCGAATTCATGGTAATCCTTCTCCCTCAGCCTCCCAAGGGCTGGGATTACAGGCATACGCCACCATGCCTGGCACCCTTCTAGTTTTTCATTCTTTTTGGAGGACAACTGAGGCAATAGGAACTCTGATCACGTTGCCTGGGGTGGGGAGCTTACGTGGTCTTGGGGCTCAGGGTCATCCAGCTCACCCCTCCTCTCACTGGGGAATCCACTATCTCCACTGGTCTCAGAGTCCTGTGGAAACAAGATGATCTCAGGTTCTAGGGATCCTCTAACTACCCGAAGGCAGTGACATTTGGACTTCTCAGTCATCTGCTTTCTTTCCTGTGTCTTATCACCCTACTTACCATCTTCCTCCTAGGCCTTGCTGGGCTGGAGACCGAGAACTGTATAACGCCGTGGAAACTGCCAGGAGGCCTGGGCATGAACTTTACCTTGGTTACTCGCCAGCTGTGACCTGCGCAGTTGTTCAGCCTCTCTGAGCTTTAGTTTTCTCAGCCATGGGATTCATTTTTAATGCCTCCATTAAAGCCCAGTGAGAATGAAAGGAGGTGTCACACTCCTTGTGTCACGTGGGCATGGGTATTAACAATACTCCACCCGCTTCATGGGCAGAAAATGAAGCATCGTTTAAGGGCTATGACCCACATACAAAAATACAGCACCGGGAATTATATTTACTACAATGAAGCCCTCTACCACAACTGCACACACCTCCTGAACATATTCTTTACCTTCTAGATAAGAGTTCTGTTCTGAAAGAAAACCAGGCTTCATTCAGAACCTTTAAAGCTTCTGCCTGCTAACTTGGGATTCTGCCTAGATCTGCATGCAATGGTATCATTAGACACCTAACACATTTATTTTCTTCCTTCTTTCTTTGAAGAAGTATTTCAACAAATAAAAGTCAAGAATGCTAAGATAAACTCCCATATCCTTTCCCCTCAACTCTGTCAACTCTAAAGTTATTTATTTATTTGTACTGGGAATCAAACTCAGGATTTCATGTTTACCAGGCAGGAACTGCACCACTGAGCAAAATCCCCAGCCCTTGAGTTTTAATTTTTTTAAAGAAGTTAAAATATCACTTCGGCCAGGAGGCTGAGGCAGGAGAATCACAAGCTCAAGTCTACCCTTATTAATTTAGTGACTTAGCAAGACACTGTCTCAAAGTAGGAAAAAAAGTGAACTTGAGTATTTGACACAATCCGGGAATACAACATAAAGCGCAATGGTAGCATCTACAAGCATGACTTTTCTACTAGGTCTATTCGTTTATACATTTTTAACTTGATGTCACAGTATTCACTAAAGTGAATATAAACACCATGCCTTTAGTTTATCACCACAGGGTCAAACTTAAGCTGCAGAAAACATTCTGTCCATCCAGCTGCAGAGCATCTGTACTGTGTCTCACACCTCGCACTCTGTACAGGGTGCCAGGAGTCAGCTGACTACATGTGCATGGCCAAAGCAAACCCAGGCCTGAGCCTGGCATTTACTGGAAGGTGGCACTGGTGCTGGTTTAGAACACTTCTTCCTTAACCATCTCCAGCACTGTGGTGGACTGAGCTCTTCCTAGCAAAGCTCTGCCTTGGGCAAGAGGCTGAGATACAGCTGTGCCCTTCTGAGTACCCAGGGATACCTGAGCAGGGCTGCCTACCTGAATCTAGGTTGGCCCTCAATTCCTGGAAAGAATCCACTCCTCCCACCCTGCCAGGGGCTGGAACCTGAAGTTTGCCTCCCCTCTCTCACCCGATGGTTGTCCAGACACTCGTGGTCTCTGGGCGCCATGTTATCAAGGTCACCAAATACCGGCCAATCTGGATGGAGAGAGAAAATGAGCTGACTCCACTGCTGAACAGTCACAGGACTCACCAAGCCTTTATTTTCAATTTTTATTGTTATTTATTTATTGGTACTGGGGATCTAACTCATGACCTTGTGCTTACCAGGCAGGCAGTTACCCCACTGAGCTAAATCCCTGGCCCTCAAAAAGAAAAGGCACAAAATGAGAGAATGCTGTCTGCCCCTAGGGGACTTGTGTGCCCCTAGGGGATTTTTCTTTTTTGAGCACTTATTCTAAGACTGCCACTTGCTGAACAAGTGACTTTACCTTGTGCCTCCTCAAGTGTCATAATGTAATTAAATGGGTAATGTGCTTATCTACATGCCTGGATCTGAATAAAGCACTCAGGAGGCTGAGGCAGGCAGACTGCTGTGAGTTCAAGGCCAGACCGGGCTACATAGTGAGTTTAAGATCAGCCTGGACTACAGAGCAAGACCCTGTCTCAAAAAAAGCAAAAAACAAAAAAGTACAGTTGTGAAGGAAGAAAAGTTACTTGTGCACTTGGGACCCAACAGAAGCACCTCAGCTGGCTTCCTCTCCTGGTAATTCTCTAGTTTTGCCTCTGCCTTAAGCTCTCCTGAATCGCATCTATGTTGCTACCTTCCCATGAAGTTAGTAGGAATGGGGGCTGAGGGTATAGCTCTATGACAGAATATGCTTGGCAGATACAAGGCCCTGACTTTGATACTGTGAGAGACAGACAGACAGACAGACAGACAGCGAGAAGGACAAAAAAGGGTGAGAGAAAGACACAGAGAGAGACAGAGAGAGATAGACAGACAGCGGGAAGAAGGAAAACAGGGAGAAAGAGAGAGAGGAAAGAGAGGGAGAGAGACGTAGGAACTAATTTTACATTTTTAAATAACTGACCAAGAAAGGCAAAACTATAGCCAGGGATGGTGGCACATGCCTGTATTTGGCATATCATTTTCTTCTTTGGTATTCTGTCAATTTCTGTATAAAAGTTGGCTAGTTTCATAAAGCACAATGAAAAATGTTATCTTGTTTTTTATAATAGAGGCTGTTTTTAAAACTTGTGGACAACCTGTATCTTAAAAGTTTATTCAAACAACTCCCCCCATAAAACCACCACAGCCATGAGTCTTTTGGCTTTTTTTTTTTTTTTTGGTACTGGGGATTGAACTCACGACTTCACACTTGCCAAGCAGGCGCTTACGCTGCGGAGCTGCACCCCCCGGCCCTTGGCTGATTTTTCTAACAGGAATGAAAGCCAGTTTCACCCAGCTCTACTGACACCTGTCCCCTCCCTCAAAATGACCAGAGGGCCAAACCATCACTCACGGAGGTGGTCCAGTTTGTGACTCTGTGGGGTGGCTGACGAAGGGGAGGGAGAGAGAGAGTCGACGGTCACATCGCTCATGTTCTCATCTCCAGAGTTCTCTGAGAGGCGGAGGAGCAGCGGGGGCCGGCTGGCAGAGAAGGTCCTCACTCGGGGACTTCCACACTTCTCCTCTGTTCCTCTCAACATGGTCTTAGCTGATTGCTGGGGACGTTAACAGGATATTTGCGTCATTTAGGCATCCTCTGGGGGAATGAAGGGTTCTTTTTGTTGTTGCTTCTAACACTGAAGCCCTTTCAGCTGTGTAGACATACATAACAGAAAACCTCAGCACGAAAAGTCAGCAGGATTAACCCTACAGTATCCAAGAAGAGGCACATGGAATGGAGCTCCAAGATCTACTAGCCAGCATGCTGGCCACGCTTACAGCATCTAGCTGGAGAATGCATCCCAGTACATATCCAGAATCCCAAGCTAGTCATGGCCTGTACTAATCCTGCATCTGGTCCATGAAGCAAGGTGGAGTAATCCCACCTTGCACACAGCAAGATGCCCAGGGAACCAAGTCTACGTCAAGTCTATTGCCAAGGTACTACACAATCACATACCACACTCCTCTCACTTTTCTACCTGCTTGTTCTCTTCACCTGGCACAAATAAACCCAACTCAACCAGATGCCAGTATCTGTTATGAAGCCAGAGGACTCAGTGTGCTGAGTTGGGAGTGTTCAGGGTGAGGCACAAATGGGATGGATCTTTCCAGTTCTGATAATCCTCCATTAAACATTTCTGGGTGGCAAATGGAGCAGCAGGTCTGAGTGGGTTTCTACAGGATACCCACCAGTAGCTTGGTGTTCTGATTCACTGTGTCTTGCTCCCGTGGCGAGAGGTCAAAAGGAGCCAGGCCCATGCTCTTGCAAATCTGGTTGCAGGCATGAGAGTAGAAGAAAAGAGCCATGCCCCGGACACCTGGGGACAGAACAAGGGTGTTTAAATAACAACAGGGGAGGCAACAGAAACATGTCCAAGGTAGACAGAAACATGCTGAGCTGAAACGGGGGTTAGACACCCCAGACTCCCATCTTGATGAACTCGGGAAGTCCCATGCATGGTCTCGCTTGCTCCCTTGGGTGTACAAAGAACATGCAGGTGTTAGTGGAAAGCGTGGTCTTCATGAAAACTGGCTGGCTTCCCCCTCTTACCTAGGTTGCCATCTCCAAAGTCTGTGCCTGTCTCAGTGTGAATCTGTGGATCAGTATAGAGGTCACCCACACCCTGAATGTCTACCACAATCAGTTGATGGCCGGAACGTTCAAACGTGAAGTGGCTGAAGGCCTAGGGAGGGAGGACACACACACACACACACACAAACAATTGAAGAAAGGTGACTGCAAGAGATCAGGCTATGGGCTGTGCAGACGCTGGCCAGCCCGTGCCAAGAGTCACAACATCCCAAGTTTACTTGTGTTGGGGGGTTTTTCTCCATAGGAGGAATCACACAGAAGAAAACACAAAGAAAGGAGGCTTGTTTAGTTCCACAGGGGCACAGGTCTGCTGGCCACCAAAGTCTGCTGATAGAAGCTGGTACTAGGTGACAGTGTCCCGATACAGACTTTCCTTTAGAATGCTCCAAGGGGTGTGAAGGGCCTCTGGGAATGTGAGACCTCATACCCACTGGGATGCTTCTTTGTAGAGGCTAGACTTGACCAGGCTTCACCTCAAAGAACTGCATTAGATGAGGCTGCAGGTGTAGGCAGAGCAAGGGCCCTACCTGTGGTGTCAGGCGGATGTTGTCGTCACGGACAAATCCTGAGTTAGAGTTGTACTTGATGTACTTGCCCTCGATGTAGTGCTCCAGGTGGAAGAGGGGCTTGCCTGGTCTCTCCTTCAGCTCAATGATGCACATCTGCATGATGTCCACCTGGTAGAATGACAGGTTAGGAAATCAAATGGAAGTTCAGGGAGTTAGGGGTCAGATCCTGGATTCATCACTTACTACCTCTCTGTAGCAGGAACTGCTGACATCCTCACAATCTATTCTCCTTTTTTACTTTTAGAATGAAAACTGGATCTCTGAGTCTCAAAAGAATGCACAACCAGGATATATCATGAACTTGTTGCTCGGCCTCCCTTGCAGCTAGGTGAAGTCACATGACCATGTCTAACCAATGAGAAATAAGCAGCAGCAATGCCTCCAGCATTGCAGCTTCCCTACAAGCAGACTCTGTGTCTATGACCCAGAACTGACCTCATGATCCACAGTAACTGGGGGATAGCAGAGGATAAGACAGAAGGAACCAGACCTCTGGATGATTTCAAAGATGCAAGGCACTTGGCCACCTAGACTCAACCCCTAAAGTAGGACTGTTAGGCAAGTGAGAAAGAAAACATTGTGTGAAGGTATCTATAAATCGGTTTGCTAGCAACTTAGCCTGTGTCTTACATTAATACTGTGAATTTGGGCAAGACACTTTACTTCTCTGTGACTCCATTTCCTTACCCACAGAGAGAAGACTTCAGATTTGGGACAAAAATTAAATTTGTGGAAAGGGAAGAAAGGACTCTGGTACCACCATCGTCCCTCACCCCAAGACACTATCCCTGGTTGTTCTGGGGTAGGAAGGACACAGTTGGGGGTACCACACACCTGCTTGGGGGGCTTGTGGCGGTTATATTCCTCCCCCCAGAGCTTGGCCTCCATCTGCAGACGCACATCCTCAAAGTATACGTCCCTGTCCACCGTCTCAATGTAGCGCTTTGCCACATAGTTGGAGGCCCCTTTCCACTGCTGGGCATGCAGGAAGTTGGAGAGCTTCTTCCTGAGGAAAGCCAGGAGGGGCCCGGTGGACACTCTGGGGCTCACTGGGGACACAGTCCCCGGTCCTCAGGACAGCAAGACCAGCCTGACCTGGCTGGAGGCAGGAATGAAATGTAGAAGGTGGGAGTGGCATCCACGTCCCACTACAACATTCCTAGGTCTAGAAAGGGGGCTCCTGGTCACTTAAAGATCTCCAATCCCCTTTCCCTTAACCCCAAACCTGAAAAGAGACCAGTGGGCACTCCCTGTCTCCAGAGTCCATCCCCACAGCTGGGCCCAGCTCCTCCCACCAGATGAGAGGAACTTGAGCTACAGCAGGCAGAAGTCACCATCTCCAGCTCTCAGCTGAAAATGTTCCGGTAACCCAGATCTTAGGGACCTGGTGGAGTCAGGGTAGGGCCCCAAGCACAGGCAGCGCCACTTACGTCCTGAAGCACTCCCTCATGGCTCCCCGGCTGAAGGGCTGAAAGACACCACACAGACTTATCAGTCCCAACAGTGCATCCAGAAGCAGCCCTGAGCTGACGTCCCCTCAGACATCACCCACCCAATGGGGGCCTGGACCTCACCATAGTCCCAACCATGCCTGCACCCAGGAGTCCTCCCTCCTGCACCCAACACCAAAGAGTGACAGGTCCTGAGCCTAAGGCTGCCTGCTAGCGGGCAGGATGCTGGGGCAGGACTACATGTCAAAGAATGGTTTCGCACCCTGGTCTGTAATAGGAAAAAAGTAGAAATAAAGCCAGTGCTAGCACAAGCCCATAGTCCCGGCCACACAACACGCTGAGGCAGGAGGTTTGCTTGAGTCCAACAAAGTAATGCCCTGTTTGCTACAGTCTGTTCTTCTCCTTTCCTTCTTTACCCCACTTTCCCTCTTTCCTTCCATCTCTTTCTTTTTTGATATTGGGGATTGAACCCAGAGCCCCTACACTGAGCTACACCCCCAACCTTTTAAAAAAAATTTTTAGTTGAAGATGGCCCTAACTTCACTATGTAGCATAGGCTGGACTTGAACTCATGGTGATCTTCCTGCCTGAGTGCTGGGATTACAGGCATGCACTACCATACCCAGTATGAATTAAACGCTTTTTACTATTCTGGTTGCAAACCAAACAGGAGGATAACTGAATCAAATTCAATGGTTAGGTTCAGTATTGACCTGTATTTTTATTCATTCTCATCTAAGTTGCTTTGAAACCAGAATTGAGAAAGGAATTAAGTTCATGAAACAAGGTAGCATTGTATATAAATTATACCTCAACAAAGCTATTATAAAAATGTAATATATAAGCAATAGTACAAATAAATCCCAAAGTTTAAAAGAAATAAAGTAGGTGAGGAGAGGGCACAGGGACTGAAGTTGGTTTGAGAAAGTTCCTAGTCAGCCCTGTACAATCAGGGCTCAAGGACCTGCTCACCTGAGATGCCATCTTGATCAGAACTTCATCTTCTAGCCACTCCCCAGTGACAGCATTGTACCTGCAGAGACCAGAGACCATCCCAAGCTGCAACATCATAACATGATCTGGTCCCCCACTGATCAAAGATGAAAGACCTTTGTGGGCTCCCCTTGGCCCTCAGGACACAGCCCACTTTCCACCTTGACCTGGCCCTTCAGGACAGGGTTCCAGACCCTTTCCCTCCTTCCCAGGTGACACCACACTGGTTTTTTTGCCTTCCCTCGAACACACTGTTGCTTCCTCAGCCTGTCACCATTTTACCCACTTCCCCACACTGATTTCTGCCCTGTTTTCTGCCTTGTTCTGCATCTGGCTCCCACACTGGCTGTAACTCCACAAAGAAGATTCCTGGCTGTCTTGTTCACCACAGGGCCTGGTGTGTGCAGATACCTAACATACACTGGATGACTGGCTGAAAACACAAATATCCTTATTACAACTGGCTACAGAACAAACAGCACATCCCAGGTAGGAGGGTATCAGTATTCTCAATCTTGTCAGGCAACTGGGCCAGATGCAGCCCAGAGAGCTAGACACATGTCCCAGGAAGTAAGAACTGTCCGAGTGTAGGTAGAGGAAGAGGAGGATCCTGTCCCTGAATCTAACCAGGAAAGGGTCTCCTGGGTGAACACCTAAGGCAGAGAGAGATGAAGGAGGTTCTGGAGAGAGATAGAGAAGGTTCTGGAACACTTCCTTCTCACCTCTCAGGAATCCTCTTTCCCAGAGAACATACGGCCTCAGGCCTGGCTGGTCCTCAAACAGGTTTGCCAGGTAGATGGTTTCTCAGCTCAGTGGATCACTAATATCTAAAACCTCCCCCTTATCTTTGGTTGGAGGCTTGCCTTGTCCCACTTCTCAGCTGGGGCAGACTCCAGAACACTCCCAGCCCCCACGAACAGGTTCCTCAGAGTCTGAAGCCTCTACAAGATAAAACAAGCCGAGGCCTGGCAGGTAATCTCCCTACTCAGAAAATGGGCTTTTCACAGCTCCAAGCTTATCTGCAATCAGCCTGTGGCAAGTACTGTGTGCAATACATGACAGCAAGAATTTTTTATTAGTAGGTAGAGATGAAGGTCATGGAAATAATTCTCCTTCATCTCCACCCTGAGAGGCACCAGAGGTTGGGGTAGGAGATGTATGCAACCTTGGGAGAGTCTTACTTGACACCCACGACCGCTAACATCATAAAGACAAGAAAGCTCAAAGTTCACTGAATGCTTATTACGTGCCGGGTGCTTAAATGGATTGCTGCATTCAATCTTCTCAGACATCCTGAGGTTGCAACACATATTAAGCCCATTTTTCCAGAAGGAAAACTGAGGCTCAATATCTTGAGAGTCAGGATTCAAATGTAGAGTGGTTTAAACTAGGACCCTGCTCTCAGCCAGCCTGGGGTTGGCTGCATGGACAGGGATATCTGTTCCCAATACTGGAACAAGCTGGTGTGCACCAGAGCTTGAAAAACCGGGAATAGAGAAGGAAGCCTCTACTTTATTTATTTATTTATTTTTTTTGTCTTTTTCCTTTTTACCGGTACCAGGGATCGAACTCATGACCACCTGCTTGCAAGGCAGGTGCTTATGCCGCTGAGCTAAATCCCCAGCCCCCGGAAGCCTCTACTTTAGAATCTCACATTCTAGCCGTCAACTTGTGGGGCCTTCCAGGACCACCATCCAGGGCAGGGGAAGTCAACCACTTCACTTAGAAATAAACACAGTTTGGCCTGGTCCCAGATCCAAAATCAGCTTCAGAATACAGAGAACCAGCCCAGCCCATGAATTCTGCTTTCAGGCTGGTGGTCCCCAGGGCCTACCTGGGTGGCCTAGTGTTATTAGCCTGGAAGCTTTGTGTCACCAGCCAGCAACCAGACATGCTGTCGGAGGTGAAAACAAACAGAGCATGGATCCCTTCTGGGACCTCTACAATTCTTCTGACCTTGCCTGCCGAGCACAGAACAGTGACCCCATCAAGGGGTAGCCACTAGCAAGGAACAGGGTGGGTATATAAAGGGCTCTAAAGTCCTTTCCTCCTAAGGTGAGAACAGAATCATGCTGCAGAAAGGTGGAGAGGGCAGAATACACCTCTCAGCTCCCTGTGGCTAAGTAGGGCCACAGAACTAGATCTCACCAATGAAATGCATGCAAAACTGATGCCATTTCTTGGGCTGAGGACTGAAAACCATTGTGTTCCTCTGATGCTGTGTTTCCCTTTGGTAGCAGTGGTACAGTTGTTTGTTGAGATGATGGATCTATAAGATGGAAATAGCCTGGATTGCCCTGAAGAGTGATTCAACTCTTACCCAACTTCAAACACAAGAAATAAACTTTTGCCACAGTACGTTCCTGGACTAGCTGTTGTTGTGTACAGCTCAGCCTAACCTGTTTAATATGTACCTCGTAGGACAATTAGAGGGACTCGATGAGGTAACACAGAGTGCTTAAAGCATGTACACTCAGATACTGAGTGATGTTTTATAGGTTGAGTCCAAAATGCTTGGGACCAGGAGCATTCCAGGTTTCAGAATACAGTATGTATGTAGTGTTGACTAGCTGAGCATCCCTACTTGAAAATCCAAAGCATTCTAACTCTGAAAGTTAGGTTTTTAAATTGAAGATGCTTGGCTTGTATTACTCCCTTCTCTTGAAGGGAATAAGGCTCTGCCAGGACTCCTCAAAGCCCTCAGACAAACTGCTGACCTGTGGCGAGTAGCACGTTCTGTAGCAATGTCCTCGAGGTGGAACTCAGCCCAGGGGTCGGGCATGTGCTTGGCCTTCTCGATTGCATGCTTCCAGGCTTCCTGCAGAAGGCAAAGGGAGCATCAGACCCGTTCAAGAGCAGTCCAGCCTCCTCCTACTCTGCAGTTTCCCCTGAAGAAAGCAAACGAGAAAAGAATACCTATCCCCTAGCCTTTGAGGAATACTCCCTAAGTGACACTATGTGGGTACAGCCTTCTTGTGGGAAGAAAGACGCATCTTAATCACATACTGCTTCACTTGTAGTTGACTGAGAATGAAAGTAAGGTACTGAGCTTGGGGTGTGTGGCTCAGTGGCAGAGCACTTTGCTGCTATGCATTGGCCCTGGGCTCTACTCTTAGCACTGCAACCAAAAAAGGGATGGAGGAAAGGAAACAAAAAAGAGAAAGAAAAGAAGATACCATTTCATCCATCGGATTGGCAAACATTTAAATGATTTTAAACAATTCAGGCAGTGTGGGTCAGCATATGGGGAAACAGGTATTGTTACATACAACCAATAAGATAAAGCTTCCCAACAAGGCAATCTGGCAATGTACTAAAATTTTTTTTAAAAAAGCATTTTTTAATTTGGACCCAGCAATTTTGCATCTAGGAATTGACTCTGCAGAAATACAAACACGCAAGCATGTACATACAAGAAATGTCATAGAATGCTAGGCCTAGGGGTGCACATCTATAATCCAGTACTTGGGAGGCTGAGGCAGGATTGCTGTCAGTTTGAAGCCAGTCTGGGCTACATTATCAAGTTCATGTTTTTTGGAGTCTCAAAAAAAAAAAAAAAAAAAGTGGCACAGTAATTGTACAAAACAACATCCAACATGAAGGTCTGTCTGTGGGGAATGGTTAAATGCATTTTTTATTATTTCTACTAAAAAGGCTAATACACATCCTTCTAAAAGACTTCACTCATAGGATAGTGGGAAGTCATGGTCCTACCAGCACTCACACCCCCATTTTATAAATATTGTGTAACACGGTTTTACTGTCCTGTATGTAACTCACAGATAACCAATGCAAGCTCAGTGTCTATCGGAAGCAAGCCAAAGACATGTTGCCTTTACATGCAATGCAGAGCTCAGCTCCAGACTCATATAATTATGAGCCAATTCCCACGACACATTCCAAGATCCTGTAGGGTACAGTACAATTCCTTGTGCAGAACTTCCCTACCCTTATGAGGGTTTCCAAGATTTCTGATCTCCATCTACTAAATGCCAGTAATGTTCCCCATCATTGTGATAACCCAAAACACTTTTCAAAACATTCAAAATGTACCACGACCCATGGCACTGGTGAGTACATTACTAGAGAGCGGTTGCTAAGCACTATGAGGGGATACTGTGGTTTGAATGTGTCCCCCAGAGTTCATGTGTCAGAAATGTAAAAGCCAAATTCCTATGTTGATGATATTCAGGAGCTGACTGGGATTAGATAGGTCTGGGGCTCCCTTTGTGATATCCGTAGCTTTAGAAGAGGAGCAAGAGCAGACTCAGCGCACGCTGTCTCTGTGACGATGCCTCCCCCAGGTATAACAGCCAGAAGGCCCGCACTGGGTGCCACTGTCAGGCTCTTGGACTTGCCAGCCACAAGAACCACGGGCCAGTGAAACTTTTATTCCTTATAAATTCCTTAGCATTGGTTATTTTGTTATACAGCAGAAAACAGGCTAAGACTTGGTTCCATCCCATTTTTAAGAGTTGATTTTATTTAGGAAGTCTGGGGTATAGCTTGGTGGTAAAGAGGCTCTGAGTTCAAACCTCAACACCAAACCAAACCAAACTACAACAACAAAACCCCAAATAACCAGCAAAAACCAAGCCCATTTTATTGCTTTTGTGATACCAAAGTAGAACCCTCCCCATCCCTTCAAAACCAACTCCCACATCCATGGAGAGCAGCAACCCCCTTTTGCTCTCTTCCCAAAGAAGCTTAAATCATTGCTCTGTGCCGTCTCCAGAATCTGTGAGACCCAGAACTCCTTCCAAGCCAGAGGCTGGGTCATGGAGAGGAGAATGGATGGCAGACTGCTCAGGGCAGGCCCCGCCAGCACTGGGATTGGGAGGAACAGAAGGGACAGCAATTTCATGCCCCACCACCATAATCAATCCCACGCCCCACCCACGCCTCAATCCCACGCCCTACCACCATCCCTCAGTGGTCCCAGTCAGTCTCCACTGGAGTCCAGCTTCGCAGGGGCTCTGGCCCAAATGCAGTTGTGCTGTGCCCACTCTCTCATCTTAACAGGCCCTTGCTCAAAACAGAAGAGGTCGGCAGAGGAGCTGGTATTATAGACAGACAGATGGACAGCCAGCCAGACATACACACACACACACACACACACACACAGAGACACAGCTGAAGGGCTCTCTAGCTAGGGCTTTCTAATTTCTGCAAAGCACAAAAACTAAAGTCCACAGTCTTCTTTCAATAGAATTTGGAAGCTAATTTAGGCTTAATGAAAACACTTGGAAAATACAGAAGTTCAAAGCAATCTATGTTATCTACCCACAACAAGGACTTTCCCATGCATGTAAAACCTAAGATTGTAATCAAACAGTAAACATAACTTACATCCTGTCAGGAGAGTGGCGCAGTGGGATTTTATACTTCATTTAATGACTGTGGTTTTTTTTTTTGGCTCCAAAAAAATGACATGCATAGCACAAAAACTGGAAGCTCTACAGAATTCTGAGTTAGAGGGTAAAAGTTCTCTCTCACTACCCACTTCGAAAACCACAGATGACCATTAATGTAGCTACTCTCCTTTAACACAAGTGTTTATTCAAGAGCCATGAGGCTGTGGCACACATTTGTTCTGCATCTTATTTCCTCCCACTTACTGTGGGAGCCTGGATGGCTTTCCTTGCCACGGGCCCAGACTGCCCGGCTGACCTCTTTTTTCCCCCAGGGCTGTGGGACACATGATTGTATACATATCCCCTAAAGTATTTGTCTAGCATCCAACTGATAGATACTTGGATTCTCTCCAATGTATCTTGGCACAAACAGTGCTGAAGTGAACATCCTCATATCTAAGTCTGCTTATATAAAGCTTTGCTTATATCAGATCTCAGTGATCTATCTATCTATAGCATTTGGGTCCCATGTAAAATCCAAGTGCCTCAGATGTAGCTCAGTGGTAGCCTAGTATGGGCAAGGCCTTGAGTTCAATCCCCAGCACTACAAAAGAGAGAGAGAGAGAGAAAGAGACAGAGAGAGACAGAGAAGGAGAGAGAAAGAAAGCAAGTAAGCAAGAAAAAGAAAGAGCCAAGCTAGATAGGTAGAAATTGTCACGTTCTCTTTCAAAAAAGTTCTTGTAAGGAATAAACAAGTCACCTGCATTTGTGTGTGTGCTCGTGTGTGTGCATATGTGTTAGTTACTTGGGAATCAAATCCATGGTGCTCAGCCACTGAGATACACTCCCAGGCCCCTTTATTTAGGGTCTAAGTTGCCAGGCTGGACTTGAATTTGTGATCATAATGCCACAGCCTTCCAAAATGCTGGGATTACAAGTGTGCACTTCATCTGGCTTAACTGTTTAACACAAACATTATATCAAGTAACTATAAAACTGACAAGTCAGTTTGTAACCTGTTTTAGCAGAAATAGTCCACTAGATGAGTAAATCATTATTGCCTTATGTATTTACGTCTTCTCCATCATTAGGGTTTGGACTTGTCGCTGCTTTTTCTCTGTTATTAGTGACTCTACAGGGCCTGGGGTTTAGCTTAGTGGTATAAGTGCCTGCCTGGCAAGCGCAAGGTTGTGAGTTCAATCCTCAGTAACAAACAAACAAAAAAAATAAGTGACCCTACAGCAGGTATGTTTACATCTGAAATATTTTCTGAATTTTGATCCCTATACTTTAAAAATGTGCCACAGTCACCTCTCACATTCCAGCTGGGGACAGCCTCTGACACCACCCCACCACACCACTGCTGCCTGCTTGTCAGTCTGAGAAGTCAGCAGGCCATCCTCCTGAGCATGTTTGCACAGCCCCTGAGCTCTGCAGGAGACACACAGCTCTCTGCATCTCAAACAGTGAGTGTTCTGCCACTCCCTCTGCCAGAAGCAGGGGCTGTCCCCACTCACTAAGGATTATCATCATAAATTACCTCCTGGCTGCATGCCCTGGCACCAACCAAAGAACAGTGAAGGGAGAAAGTATTTCCCAATTAGAATGCATGGCATTTCAAAGGGCCAAAATTTCCTTTTTCCAAAGCCAGAAAAGATTCATGTTACTCATTAAAAATAGGTAAATTAGCTGAGTATAGTGGCACATGCTTATAACCTCAGCACTTGGGAGGCTGAAGCAGGAGGATCCATACAAGTTTGAAGCCAATCTCAGTAACCTAGGTGCAAGTTTCTTAGTTTGCTTCTTTCTTTCTGTCTGTCTTCCTCTTTTTGGTAGTTTGGGAGACTGAATCTAGGCTCTTCGCACTGACTTATACCCCCAGTCTTTTCTTATTTTTTGAGACAGGGTCTTGCTCAGTTACTAAGTCACCCAGGCTGGGTTTGAAGTTGCGATCCTATTGCCTCAGTAGGAATTACAGGCAGATGCCACCATGTGTAGTTTTTTAAGCACAATATACCTTGCTACTCAAGGAGGCTAAGGTGGGAGAATCACAAATTTAAAGCCAGCCTGGGAAATCTAACAAGACAGTCAAAAATAAAAAGAGCCAGGGATATGTCTCAGTGATAAAGAACTTGAGATTGTGAGTTCAACCCTCAGTACCACAAAATGAAAGAGAGGGAGGATATAAGAAGTCCTACACTAATATTCCAGACTCTCAACTGGTCCCACACTCCACCCTCCTGATCAGCCAGCCATGAGGAACCTCCATGCCCTTGTTTTCAGAAGAAGGATTTGAATACTGGCAGCCAGTTTTCTTTGTGGCCCCTGCTACTGGAATAAACATGCTCCCACCAGAAGGTGGCTCCCTGACGTAGCAGTGCTTTAAGGGTGACCCTGTCAAAGCAGAGGAATATCTTACTATCAGGTCAGGAAAAATATCCTAATGGTGACCGGGAAGTGGATA